GAGCATTGCGACCACGTTACAGTATATAGTCAACAAGTAAGCCCCCCAAAGTACAGCACACGTGGCGGCGTTCTTGCCGAATGGCAGCTCCGCGCGCCAATGCGCGCCGCAATTCCTTCTGCCTCGCTGATCCCAGCCAGACCGCCCAGCAACGATGTGTAGGTCAGCCCCCTTGATCACGGAAGTGGGGGGTGAGGAAATGGGAAGGGGCAGTTTAGCGGGGAGTTGTCGAGGGGGAAGAGACAAGGAAGAGGAGGAGGAGGAATCTTATAATACACCAGACGAACAACAGGATGAGGCGGAGGACGCGCGGCGGCGGCGCGAGGCTCCTCAGGAGTGGTGCAGGGCGCTGTATCAGAGAATTGTTGCTTCGTTTTCTGAAGCTGCGTTGGTGGTGTTGGGCCCAGGGTCGATTGCATTTTCGTGGCTTGTCGGGGCACCTGTTGGGCTGATCTCCCCTTGCAATACAACGCTGGACCCTGGTTGCGGCAGGCTTGAATAATACAAATAATTCGCAAAACACTCAACCTTCCCTCAGCCGCGACGAATGAAACACCTGATCAACACGGACTCACCCCCTGGAGCGATAAATAACGAGTCCAACGGCGCCACACGAGGGGGGGTTCTCGAACAGTAACAACCCAACTTCAAAAACAACACCCCGCTTCGGCGATGAATACAGCTTTTGACGCATTGCAAAATCATCTCATGAGCCAATCACTCTGGCTTGGCACGGCGCAAGTCGTTGGACAGGGGCCCAAACCACCCCCAGAGGCTATAATATTCCGAGAGGCCCCCCACATGCCCCCAATATAGCCCCATAAGGCACCCAGAAGCCCCCAAGAGGGCCCCAAAAGGCCTCCGACATGGTCCCAGAAGGCCCCCAAAAAACCCACCATAAGGGCCCCATAAGCACGCATACAGCCCCCGGAAGCCCCCAAGAGCGTCTTGGAAACCATTGAAGCCATATGGCGCCATGTCGGGGGAATATCGCGGCCCCTTGGGGCCATCATGGGGCCTCCAAGGCCGCACTGTGACGATTTTGGTGTCCTTTTCTGGCCGTCTTGGGCACCCCCAGCCCCCGCTTCCATTATTCATGGGGCCTGCCGAAACTGCGGGTTTTTCGAATGTCCCCTGAAGAGTGGAACCCCCGAAAAGTAAATTTTCTGGACGTCCCTCCAGGCGGGCCGGGGATGTTTTTTTCGTGCGCAGGCCAATAAAAACAAGCCGCGGTTGCCCGTGCTTTTTGCCATTTTTGGTTCAGGCAGGCCCGTCCGCCTGCCGGGCGGCAGCGACGCCCGTCGAGGGCGGCCGGGCGGCCCTCTTCCCCTCCTCCCTCCTCCTCCTCCCCCCTCCTCTCTCTCCCTCAGGGCGTGGGGGGGTGCGCCCGACCATTCCGTATGTATGCCCGGGGAAGCCTCGCACATCAGCAGCTGCATCGGCCACGCGGCCAGGACAGATGAGGTTCCCACAGCTTGCGTGGAACGCAGTTTCAACTCAACGGGCATACGTCTTCGTTTGTGTTTGCTCCCACAGTGTTGCATTGGCTGTGTCTCATATTCTGCGGAAGGCGGAATTTAAATGTCACGGTGTCGGTGCGTCACGGACTCGGTGCGCCGTCCGCTCCTGTTGCTGCCGCGCGCCTGCCCCTGGGTGGGCGGACGGGCGGGCGCGGCTGGAGCGTCGGATCGCCGTCAAGCAGTTGTGACGCTCGTCGAGGGCGGCCCTTTTCCCCTCTGCCTCCTCCTCCTCCTTCCTCCTCCTCCTATCCCAACATGTTTCAACGTGATTAGAACCATGTTGCGCACTCTTTCCTTTTATTCGCCCTCAGAAAAATAACCTTAACTTTTCTTTAGATTTCTGAGGGCACCGGATGGTCAGGGTATAGGTGGCGCTCGGGCGGGTTGGGCGGAGCCTGGCTCAACGTTGTACCGCATTTGACCCAGGCATCCCGCTCCAGCGCGGGCAGTGCAATTCATAGTTGGCAAATACCCGGCGGGTTCCCCAGTTCGGCGGGGCCGTCAGGGGACTCTGGCACGGGCGATCTTGTGCGCTGCATTCGCTGGCGCGTTTCCCTCCTCCCCCTGCTCTCCTCCTCCGCCTTCCTGGCTTCCGCTCGGGGTCATCGTGTCAATTAGCACAGGCGGGCTGGACGATGTGTGATCGGGCAGGGTCCCCCGTCCGCAGGCCGCCCAGCGTGCACGATCGCTGGGGACTTTGTGCCACTCCTCCGCCTCCGCGCCTCGCCCCTCCTCCCCCGAATCGTGATGCCGTCTTCCTGACCCGTGCCGCAGGTCTGATCAGGTCTTTGCAGGGGTGCGGAGGCCCCGCACACTCGTTTTGAGCGTGCACTCGCCCTCCTCGCCCTCCTCGCCGTCCTTCCTCCGCCTCCCTCCGCCTCCTCCCCCATCATCCGCCCGCCGCCCAGGTCTGGTGGCGTGTTCGGGCCGAATTTGTGCAAGGGGGGCCTTGGGCTCCTGCTGCAGCCCCTCGGCTGGGCCTCCTCAGGTCCGCCTGGCCGCCGAGGCGCCTCAGCGCCTCCGCTGGTCCGCTCTGGGCTTCGGACGGGCTGCGTCCATTTGATTACAGAGAGTCTTATATTCCTTGTATTTTTCCTTGTCGCTGGCCACTTCTCCCACTTGCTAGGTCCGTCTTCCGTTGCGCGCTGGTGTGATATGCAGCCGCGGGGAGCTTATATCAGTCTGTTTTTCTTGTTTCCCCCTTCCCGCTCTCCTGCTCTTTCGCCGTTCTCCTCTTCCCCCTCCCCTCTTCTCCCTTACTACAGACACTTGCGCCAACGCAGACGCTCGGGGTTTCGTGCTGCTCTCCTGCCACCGCGGCCACGTTTAGCAGCTTGGTGGGGCCATTTTGTGTAATGTAGGTCCTATTTGGCCCGCATTGGCAGTGCTCTCAACAGGCATGCTGCACGGTGGGGCTATGGCTTGGTGGTGTCCGCTCCTTCTCCTCCCTCCAAGATTGCGCTGACAAAAACTTATTTCATCTTAGCTTAGCTTAGCTTAGCTTAGCGTACCTAGGCTCTGCATAGAGGGTTAGTTTAGCTTAACTTAGCTTAGCATAGCGCAGCGCTGCACTAGCATAGCATAGCATAGCATAGCCTAACCAATCATAGCATATCACAACATATCGCAGCATAGCATAGCATAACATAGCGCAGCATAGCATATCACAACGCATCGTATCATAGCATGGCATAGCATAGCTTAGCATAACACAACGCAGCATGGCATATCATAACTTAGCATAGCGTAGCATAGCATATCATAGCATAGCGCAGCATAGCACCGCATAGCATAGCATAGCATAGCGCTGCATAGCACGGCATGGCATAGCATAGCATAGCATAGCAACTACTGCTGCTTTCCTAGGGGCTCCAACTTCTAGGTAGGGTCTTACGGGGGTATTTTTTCTGACAGAAGCGATGACCTCTCGTGCTGCCAGCTCTGAATGCAGGCCCAGCCAGCGTTAAAACTGTTAAAGCAGTTTTCCATCTGATCGACCCAGAAGCGGGCATCGAGGAAAAAGCCGGTCTTAAGTAACATTTCCTCGGCGCGCGCCTTGGGAAAAAGCCGGTCTTGAGTAACATTTCCTTCACTGCCCTTGCTGTCGTGGTTTATTGTTTGATTTCGCCGAGGCCTTTGTTGCCCCGCTGGGGCTCGTCAGCCACGCAGCCCGCCGACCGACCGGAAAGTTTGATTTCCTGTGCGTTGGTTGTTGTTGGCGCGTGTGTCGTCGCCTCGTGGACCTCCTCTTCTCGCTGTTGTGTTCGATGCTTACATTTGGGCCGATTGGGACCCTTGGGATTCGCACGACGTGGCTCTGCGTGTCGGACTGGGGAGTCTGGTGCGTAGCCTGATACATCTGGACTCCTAGCGTGTCACCGCGCTTCCTGCTCGGCCGCTCTAGTTCGTCTTTCGTTTCTCGCCCTCTCCCTCCTCGTTTTCTCCTCCTCCTCTTCCTCCTGTCCTCGCATTGGATGTGCGCTACGTAGGGCATGGCGCGTGATGTGTCGATTTCGCTGGATTCTCGATCCTTCGTTTGTTTTCTTCTCCTTCGGTTCCTGTTCCATTGGGGCGGCAGCCGCGGGGGCGTGGCTTGTTACCCGACTGCGTCGTCCGAGGCCCCAGGATCTCGAGAGGGCACCTGATAGCCTATACATAGGGAAGAAGGTGTCCTCGCCCCCCATCAACGCAGTGAGTGTGGCGAACGGCCAGGCGTTGCCTTGGTTGCGAGGATGGAGCGAGAGCGCGCGATGCAGATTTCGCATGCTGTTTTCGACGGGTGGGCGGGTTGCGGGCGGGTCGTGGCCAAGCGCCGGCGTGGGGCCCCCGAGTTTCACACGATGGTTTTTTTGGGGAGGCACCAGACGAGAGCCCAACGAGGCAAACCGAATCCGCATGGTAGGACCAAGGACTGCTGCGCAGGCGTCCGCGAAAGAAGGGGGGGATACACAGCTGGGGCCCAAATTCATCATGTGGCCTTCCGTGCGGGGGCCTTGAGCATGCCCACATATCCCCCTCGGTCTCATGAAGGCCCAACGTTGTTTATGTCAAAACGAAGAAATCCCGTATGGCCATGGAAATTCAACTTCACGCTAGAGCATCGCCCATAACAACAGTGCGACAGTCGCCGTCGCTCCGTCGCCGCACCCGCTCTCTCCATTCTTGTCTGAAAGTGCGGAGCGTTCTCTTATAGTCGATCGGATGCGTCACCTTCAGTGTGGACCCGTCTTTGTTGCTTGAGTCGAACGCCACCTTTAGTATGAGTATGGGCCCACAACCACAGGGGAGTCCCCACCTGCAGGCGGATGCAAACGTGGCTCTTTTTTGGTGCGTGATAGGGGCGCCACGAGATTTTTGCGTCGCCTGACGGCGCCGATCGATGTCATTACGGTCTCAAGCTTGACAGGCTTCTTGCCAGCGAGGCCCGCGCAGCCACGTATTCACACGTACCCAGTGCCACGAAACGAGCTTCTTCGGCCCATGTCGGCGGGAGACAGTTTTTGGGATGATCTTGGGCACGATGACGAGCTAATGAGGGTCAACCTCCCTCTCGAGGCGTTGCTGGAAGCCCAGATTGACGGAACACCTTCGACGGAGGAGCTTGGTTCGTCGCTTCGCCGCCGCTGCGGCGTCGCCGCGGGCGGCGACGAAAGCCGGTCGCCTGGCGATTCCAACCTCCAGACGCCCAAGATCCGACGGGGAGGCCTTGGCGGAACCTCGTTAAGCACACAGGAGAGCTCGTCCAAAACCAGCCCGAAGGTCGCTAAGGTCAAGTTGTGCCCTGGTTGTTGGCGACTGAAAGGCAAGGACTTCAGCTTCTTGGTGCGCATGGAGACGGCGGAGTTTCCGAACAACGGTGGGTCTTGGTGTTGCCTTTGCGTCAATTTGCACCGGACCGTGTACATGAACGATCGGACTTTGACCGAGATGCACGATTGGATCAAGGTCAAGGAGAATGCAGAGGATTTCCTCCTGAACCTAATCGCCTTTCTCATGTTGATGCAGGAACCTGGGTTCTCGGACGTTGGGTTTATTCTGGATGGAGTGCGTAAGTTGGTTTCCCATGCATCGAATACTCCCCCTTCTCATTTTCAAGAGGCTTTCGCCATCCCGCCGCCTCCCAGAAGACGGTGTAAATCCACTGGAGAGCCCAAGAGAGCAGGATGGACCTTCTGCATGATAGCGAGGTCTTTGCGGCGAGCGCAACATCCGTAGGCGCGCCAGGGTGGCATCCACGACCTCTGGCACTGAAGACGACGGCGTGGGTGACGGGCCTGCAAATTGTGACGATGTGAGGCGCGAGTGTCCGTGCCGGGGTTGTGGGCCACGAAGCTCGGGGATGCTAGCTTGGCTTTCGCGCCTAACGGTGCGCTCGCCAGCAGATCGTCAGGTTCCTCGCCAGGATGATTTTTCTGCATCCAGGGACCACAAGAATACTCCAAGACGGGCCCAGCAGGAGTCCAAGAAGGCCCCAAGACGGGCGCGCAATTGCACGCCGTATTGGGGGCCCTTGTGGAAGTCTATCGGGGCCCAAACGGGGCCCTCCGAGAGGGTAAACATAAGCCCCAAGGGCCTCCGAGAGGGCCCCAGGACGGCCCTAAGAGGCCACCGAGAGGGCAACAAGCAAAGCGTGCAATTGGACGCCGTTCCAGGGGCCCTCAAGAAGGCCTCAGGGACCCAACCGGAGGCCTTCCGAGAGGGCATCGCAAAACACCAAAAGGGCAGAAAAAAACCCCAAGACGGCCCCAGCAGGGCGCCAAGAGGGCCCCCAAACGGCGGACTCGTTCGGGATCTTCTGTTGTCTTGGGTGCCGTGCGGCAGTCGCACCTGCATTTGGTTGGGTCTTTCGCTTGCTTTTTTGCTGCGGAAATGTTCGCACTGGCAGACATGGGAAACCAACGAAAGCACTGATTCAGACTGGATGGCAACATCCGCGAGGAGGGCGCGAGGAAGATCACGGTTGCTATGATTTCAGCTCGGAGGGCGCAATTTAGCAACGTGATGGCCATGATATCGATGCCAACGGTGCCTTCCATCGTGATGCCTTTGATCGAGTTCCTTCAAGAACCGAATCGGCCCCCGATCTGTGAGATGAACCTCATCACCATGCGCATCAACGGCGTATTCAGCGTTGGGGTATTCGTGCCGCAAGGTGACCTCCCACCGGACTTGACAGTGCATCGCGCGTCCCCACCTGGGTTATCTCTTCTTTACAAAACGCTGGCATCCCAGAACAAAGTGGAGAGAGATCTTGTGTCTGGAGCTCTCGCGGTTGAAGACGTTCCAGACCTCGGGGCGAGTCAGCCGCCCGACGCTACCAAGGCCATCGTCCCAGCCGCCCCCCGCTCGAAGCCCATGAGCAGGGCGGAGCACAAATTCGAGGCCCAGATCCGAGCAACAGAGCCGACCGTCAATTTATTCAAGTACGATTCTTGGTTGGTTCTTGTCAAGGAGAGCATGTTCACTGATATTGTGCGGCGCTGGAGCAACCTCCACAGCGAGTTCGGCGCCCAGGGCCTCCACTCATTGGTCGAGTCTGTCGAGGCGTACGACGTCGGCCTGCGCCGCGTGAAGAGCTTCTTGAAAGAACACCGCGACTACCGCAAGACGAGGTTCAACATTGATCGCTTCAAGACCCTTCACGAGCGTCTCGAGCAGGTGGAGCAGTTTTTCGTCACTACGTGTTCTATAGAAGTGGCGCCGACACTCCAGCTGGAATTTGCGAAGTCCAAGTATTTTGTCGCAATCTCCCGTTCTGATGATGATGATGACGTATCAATTGCCGAGCCGTTCGAACACCTCACTTCCGTGGTTGTGCCCGCGTTCAAGCGGCATTTGAAGGGCGATTTCTTGACCAGCGACGAACGCATTGCGGTGGACACGACCTTCCCGGATACCTGGCTGCGACACCTCCTCTTCCAAACGATGAAGGAAGCTGCGGGGGCGATTACCAACGTGCACGCCGACGGCTGGTTCGAGTCACTGGCTGACGACTTCGGCGCGGTGACGGCGTCCATTGAGGCTTCATGGTGTGTTGAGTTGGATGTCGCTCAGATATTTCAAGAATGGGCATTGCTATGCAGTCTGTTCGGCAGCGGCGCCCGCCCGCCCAGGTGCACCACTGGGCAGATCAAGCAGGCGATCGACGCTCTGGAGTCGAAGCCTTCTTTGCGCCCCATGAAGGAATTCTTCAGCAAGTCCGAAGCCTGCATGGCCGCGATGGCCCATGCCAGCGGGATGGTCGCCCGTTCCTCCTCTGACTCGCTTGGGGACGGCAAGGCGCAGACCGCCAGGAAATACTTATCAAGCAGTGCCCTTCCGAAGTGCACGGGGTCCGCTGCCATGGAGAACGCCGCCATCATCACGAAATTATCCGCCATTGCTGACAATTCCGCCATCCGCGTGCTTCGCGAGGCCTCGCACGTCATGACCGAAGCCCTGGGCCTATGGAGCGACGTGCGCCTTTCGGAGATGTTGGGAGAGGTCAAGTCGTTCATCGAGGATGTTGAGCAGTTGTTGAACACCATGGAAGTTTCTATGTGCTTCAATTTGCTGAAGGCTACGGGTGGGGAGTCTCTTAAGGATCATGCTGCGGGCTGCGACTCCGAAGTCCCAGACTCAGAGTCCCGGACGTCGCGCAGCCTCACGGACGCGAGGATTTTGACGGAGAAGGTCGAGCTGTGCGAGCGCGCGTTGGCCTGCGTAGTCCCTGAGACTGAGTACCGCGAGGGCTTGGAGAAATGGTGCCACTGGTTGAACAAGAATGCGCGGGAGGCAGGGCTCCCGAACAGCTACATCGATGAGAAAATCTCCATTGTCAACGCCACTTGCGTCGAGAATAGCAAGACGCGCGAGGTCATGGCAAACGCATTCCACCAGATCGGCGAGCTCAGCAACTATACCGTGCCTTCTTCGATGGACGACGCCGTCACGGAATTTACAGACATGATGGGCCGAGGCATGGAGGCCGGCTCGTTCCTCAACAAAGCAGTGCATTTGATGTCGATGGGCAACGCGTTGGCTTCGGCCCGCATCTTCGATCTGCCACGCGGTCCCTTGGGTGAGACGGGTTACGCGTTTGATGACTCTGAGGGCGACCCGTTCGGGGCCGAACATGTGGTCAAAGGCCCTGTCATGACTTGGGATCTCGCGTCGGACATGCCATCCGACGTCCTTTCTTGGAGTATTTTCAAGGTTTTGCCCACGTCGCTGGCTGGTGTCATGAGCATTGTCTATGGGAAATTCGACATCACAGCTGTGTGGCCTGATGCCAACGATTTCCCATGTGAATTGGATGCCGCGGAGATGGGCGCCGACGTTGTTAAGCTACCCATTGGCCTGCGGCAGACCCCGCCAGCGTGCTAGGGTTGTGGGTCAGTCGCCTCCTGGATTTGGTCGGGATCAGGTTGTTGACCGATCGGGGGTTTCATTGAGGATGTTGGTGCGTTTCAGGGGGGCTGCTTTTGCGTTTCATTTGGCGTATTGCTTCCGTCTGAAGTTTTTTTGGGGGGTGGGGTGGGGGGAGGTTTTCGGCAGCCTTCTTGGAGCCTCCTCGGGCGCCTCGGGGCAGAGCTCACGCGTTCGGTTCGTGCTTCCCTCCTGGCTGTCTTTCAGGGCCTCTCTGGCGTGACCATGGGCTGCCTTGGCGGCGTGTCGGGCGATGTTGAAGCTCACCTCAGCCGTCCCAGGGCTGTCATGGGGACATCTTTGGCAGTTGTTGGGCCGTCTGGGGGGGGACCGCCTAGGTTGTTATCGGGCGTAGGGGGCTGGAGCGGCAAATTCCTGACACTCGTGTAAAACATGCAGTGGGGTATCAACGGTGTTGCTGTTATGTGACGTTCTGGCACGCCTCTGGAAAACCTCCTGAGGCGGCCGGGCGGCGTGTCGCAACCGTCTTCGGCTTTCCTGGGGCCGAGGCGCATATGCTGGCGCGGCCTCTCGTACCCGTGTTCGGCATTCTTGGGGCCTGGATCTCTTAGCTCTTCCCCTCCTCGTTCCTGCCTCTGGTGCTGTTGTTGCTGGTGCCTCTGCTGCTTGTCGTGTTCGTCGTCCTCTTGTCTTCCTTCCGTAGTGGAGTGGTGCTGTTGGTTTTTTTAGGTTTGTCATTGGTAGCCCGAGTTGCGATCGGTCGCCGCGCGGCAGGCGAAATTCCTCAGAGGTTGGGGGCACTTTCAATTGTGTCCCTCCTCTTCCTCCGCTTTCTTCCTCTCCCAGTCTCTTCGGTGCGAAATCGTGTTAGTTTCGTATCGTCCCAAGTTCGCCCGAGTTTACTTGGATAACGTTCTCCTAAGCAGTGGCGGAAACCGTGTCGGAACAATTTCGTTCGTGCTGTTGTATTCCGTCCCTCCTTTCCTCTCCTTCTCCTTTTCGCCCTCCTCCTCCCAATGGTGTCCACTAGCTTTTGCTCTGCGCAGGGGGGGCGCGATTTGTCCGCCCCAGCCGTCGCCTGCGGCAGGCAGGATCTTAATTCCGATGTTGGTCGTACCGGCCTGTCCTCGGCTTTAGGTTGGCGCCCGAGTTTGTCTCCTCCTGCACTCCTTTTCCTTATCCTCCTCGCTGCTGATAACCTATGCTGTGTTGGTTCCGTTTGTGCGGGACTTGCTCTGGTGCCCCGTAGTCAGTGGGTGGCAGTTTCGTTTGCCGTGCGAAAAACCGATTTTTGTATAACCTGTCAGTGTCTCGCATGGTTTGCTTTCTTTTTCCAGTTCTATTTTTTCGCAGTGCCGCGCCGGTATTTGCGTCGTTGTCTCCTCTTGAGGTCGCCTCGGGACGTCCTTGGGTGATTTTGGGAACTCGTGGGGCCGTCTTGGGGCCCTCTTGGGTCGTCATGGTGTGCTCTTGGGCACCTCTCTGGCTGTCGGGTGTTGTTTTGGAGCCCTTTTGGGCCGCTTCTTCGAGGGTCAAGAAGCGAAATACTGAGAATCCACAGGTCTTGTGACAACTGCAAGGGATCATAGATTTGGGCATGCATGTGCCTCATGGGCGGCCGCTTGGAGGCTTCCAAAGAGGCGTCAGCGTTGCCTCAGTGAACCTTGTTTGGCACCTCGGAGCGGGATGCTCGAATTTCAGGTTCTCGTTTCCCTTTCTGGGGCCCTCATGGGGCCGTCATGGAGTGTTCTTGGGCTGTCTTTGGCGCCGTTCGCGGTGTCTTTGGGTCCGCTTGGACCGTCATGGGACCCTCTTCGATGCATCATCCCCCATCCCGAGCGGTCTTGAGGATCGCCCCAGACAGCCTTCCAGCGTTTGAAAGCGGAAAGGCGAGAACATCAAATTTGCAGATCCAAATGGTAGTCTTTTGGATGTGCCTCCTCGGACTCTGCTGAGGGGGTCCTGGAATCGTCTCGGGGCGTCTCGAGGTTGTTTGTCTCCGTGTCGGAGGCGTTCGGGGAGCTTTCAGAGCAGACGTTTGCATTCAAAAACCGTTTGTGCGTCGCCATGGGCCATGGTTGTGCCAGGGGCAATTTTGCAGGCAAGCTATGCCGTCGGGGGTCGGAGAGAGCTCCGGGGGGCAATTTCAGGGGCGACGCTGTACACACGCTGCGTGACAAGATTTATTTTTGGTTGGGCAATATCAAAAACTCTCCAGGGGAACGGCGCCGTCCTCACGCGCCCACGACGTGCGAAGGCACGGAGACAGGTCGAACACGTTCGGCTCCATGACGAAGATGACGCTCGGCCAACTGAAGGCCTTGTATTCGCATTGTACCAGCGATCAGTACGCCAGCTCCTTCGAGCCCCATGTTCTTGCGGACTTGTTCAAGAAACTCGTCACGATGGTGGCGGGGCCTGGTGGTGGCGTCTTGACGTTTTCTTGTGTTCACGGCGACGTCGAGGTGAAGATGTCACCGGACAAGACGATGAGGTATAACGATACGAGGGTCTGGTGCTCAGAAGTTTGCGCTGCCATGAAGCTCTTTAATGGGTTGGCGCAGTCGAAAGCGCTTCTGGACGGTGCACAAGCGTCATGTATCCTGAAGGTTGCCCTCGATCGTGGGTCGGATGCGATCGCGAAGCTACGGCTCAGTCTTGATGGCGACGGGGGTTCGTCCGAGAACGAGGCCGAAGGCGACGCCCACGGTCAGGCCGTCACCAACGAACTGCGTTGGACCCATTGTGCGAGCATCGTGTTCACTGCCATCAAAAAGTTCGTGATCATCGAGGTGCGCGACGCGGTGACTGGTGTTGCCACGGCTCTCGAGGCTATGATGCCCAACCGCCATTTGATGGTCAGCGACACGACCTACAACAAGAGCGCGACGAAGAAGGGTCTTCTCGACTGGAAGGGCAGAGAGCAGCTCGCAGATGACTCGGTGCAGATGTTTAGGGACATCAAGGGGCTCAAGGCGACCTTCGACTCGTTCAAATTTGGCAGTGATGTTTCCATCGAGAGCGTATGTGGAAAGGACGAGATGGGCTACATCAGGACCGTGTACGAGGCGTCCAAGGCCCTGGTTCACATCATTGCCGCGTGCTCGGCGATTCAGGAAATGCGTGGGAAGCCTCAGGTTGATGAGGCAACGCGCATCCTGAGCAGCAAGGGCAAGGACGTCTTGCCGAGCCCTCTTGTGAAGGAGTTGCAAGCAATCGCCACGGGCTCCGAGAAGCCTGCCAAGCGATTGAAGTCCAGCTAGGCGACTGGGTGAGGCACGGCTGGCGCGCCTGGACGGGGGGGTCCGTCGTGTGAGCACGACGGGCGGTGCAGGCGTTCAGGCTTTGGTCTTTTCGGCGCAGCTCCGGCGGGAGCGCGGCGACAGCGAACCTCGGGGGTGCTGCCGCGGAGCAGCCACAGCAGCGAGAAAACAAGACAGGCGTGCTTCCGTCCCCAGACTTCTCGCTGCCGTCCTTGCCACGCACGCCCACGATCCCGTGCTGCCCTACTCCTGGTGGCCATCCTCGTCGAAACGATCGGCCGTGCCCCGCCCCGTGTGCACAACGGAATGGGCTCAACGGGCAGTTTGATACGCTGGCGTCATGGCGTAGACGCGTCGGCACGACGCTGGCGGTAGACGCGTCGGCGCCAGGGGGCGCGAATGACTAGAGCCACGGCGCGCGGAAGCGAGCGATGCCGATCAGACCGAACGATGGTCACAACGAAACGTATTGTTTTAATTTTTGGGCGCCCCCATCCAAAAATACATGAGGGCCTCTCGGGGACACTACGGGGAGGGGCCTCTTTGCTTTTTGCAGTTCGAAGCCGTCTTTGGGTTGTCTTGGGCAGCATTGCACAATTCCTGAGAGGGTGCCCGCGATCGTCAGTCTCTATTTGGGTGCACATTCGAGCAGCTTGGTCGGAGCCGGGCGATCCAATTGTGCAAGTGCAAGGTGTGATGCAGCAGCTGGGTGTGAGTTACACCATGTAGCTGGCGGCGCCTGGTTATCATCATCAGCTCGTCGGCATGGGTGCAGCACGCTGAGGCTTCGTGAGCGCGATTTCAAACACGTGCGTGGGGCCCCCGTGTCCTCCCCAGGTGCATTGAGGCCTCCTATAGTTACAGACCCATTGATTAACCCAAGTCAGGAGGTGGCCCCCTTCCTCCCTCCTTCCCCCCCCTCCAGAACTGTTAGGCCCCCGCGACGGGGCCAGGTGGCGGGCGCGTCGGCCGGGCGCGGCGTTGGAAGATCCGGGAACCGCGTTCAGAAAGAGGAGGAGGAGGAGGGAGTGGAGGAGGAGGTGGATGAGGAGGAGGAGGATAAAAGAAGGAGGAGGAGGACGAGAATGAAGGAAGGAGGGAGGGGGAAGAGGAGGAGGAGGACGAGGAGGAGGAGGAGGGGGAAAAGAGGGAGGAGGAGGAGGAGGAGGAGGAGGTGGAGGAGGAGGAGGAGGATGAGGAGGATAAGAGGAGGAGGGGACGGGCCCAGACATCCGACGACGTGTTTGTTTGAATGCGCGGCCGGGGGGTGCAGTCGAAATCGATGGTAAGGACGGGCAGCCTTTCCAAGGGTACCCTTGCGTCCTTGCCTCTTCGGCCCCTCTTTTGCCACGTTCAAGCAGTGGCGATGCGTCCCACCAAATAATGTTCTAAGAACATGCTTTGTGGTTTGCGTCAAATGTTATTTGAACCTTTCTGGCCGAGACTACCGTGTTTTCACACATCGGGTATGTCATGAGAACATTGTGGTTGTTGCTGTTCTTACAAAATTCGTACGTTCTAAAAACATGTCGTCCTAGGCCTATAGGAATGTCGGGACTGTCGGTCCTTGCTCAACATTTTCGATGGCGACCAGGCATTCTCGAAAAGCGTCGACACGGTCGTCCAAGGGGCTTGCATCCTAACCGCGCTGGGTCCCGATAGCGAGCTCCAGAGGCCGACATCGAAGCAGACGCCTGGCGGCGTCGACTAGCGCTGGTTAGTGGCAGCGAACAAAAGCCAGCAAAATGGCATGGAAGTGGAAGAAGAAACAACCACATAAACATATAATATTGGCGCTCCACGCGAATTTCCTAACAATGCCTCCGGTGCCGCGCGCCAAGGAGAGGGAATCAACGCGAATCCAGGACATCCGCGCGGAGCGCCAAAAGTTGATGTTTATGGCGCTTTTGATTATTTTATTATTCTTTTTCTTCTTTTTCGTCTTCTTCTTCTTCTTCTTCTTATTGTTATTCTTCTTCTTCTAGAAGAAGAGCCAGCAAGATGGCATGGAAGGCCCCCATGAGTTGCCACCGAACGTTGTCTCAGCCGGGCCCTCCTCCGGGCCGTTGGCGGTTGCTTCGGGGCGGTGCTCGTGTGCGAGTTGCTCGCGCCCCTCGCGGCGCGGCTTGCTCGGAGGTGCTGCTTCGGCTCCGACGCGTGCGCCAAGGCGCGCGGGCAAAGGGGGGGCGCCTGGGACCCCCAAGGCGGGCACCCAGCAGGACCCGCTTCGATCCGATGGATCCGATTCGACATCGAGTTCCCCTCCTCCTCCTCCTCCGCCTCCTCCTCCTCCTCCTCCTCCTCCCTTCTCCTCCTCCTCCTCCTCCTCCTCCTCCTCCTCCCTCCCTCCTCCTCCTCCTCCTCCTCCTCCTCCTCCTCCTCCTCCTCCTCCTCCTCCTCCTCCTCCTCCTCCTCCCCTCCTCCTCCTCCTCATCCTCCTCCATCCTCCTCATCCTCCTCCTCCTCCTCCTCCTCCTCCTCCTCCTCCTCCTCCTCCTCCTCCTCCTCCGCCTCCTCCTCATCCTCCTCCTCCTCCTCCTCCTCCCTCGCCTGCCGACCCGATCCGATTCGATTCGGGTTCTCAAGCGATCCGATGCGGCACGACGCTTGCATGGTGCTGTTGTGCAGCCTGTCGCAGCCGATCCGATTCGAGTTCGACTCCGTGCCGATGCGGCCACATTCGATGTCCATTCCAAGCCGATCCGATCCGATTCCAACTTGAACTAATCCGGCCCAGGATGGCGGATCGAGAATCGCACTTTGAGTTTCGAGAATCTAGGCTTGTTGAACTTTTGGGGAGCTTCTCGTCGCCGCGGCTGCGATCGCCTCCAGATTCTTGTCAGGACGCCCTCAGGAGAGGTCTGGGGGTCGACTTGCAACTCCCGGACCGAGACCCCCTCGCGTCGTGAAAATATCGCCACGGGAGGCTGTGTCTCCTGTGCTCAGGCTCTGGGGACCATCGCCGGGCCCTGTCAAGAACCAACTCCGGATGACAACCCGGTCTTGTGGGGAAGTGGTCGGGATTTGTGGTGGTCGACGTTATGGGAAAAGCATGACGTCAGGGGTCGGGGGTAGGCTCCAGAGCTTGTGTGAGGGTGCACTCTCCCTCCCCAACGTGGAGGGGGGTTGCGTGCCTCTTGTCTGTCCAGCGTGTTTCGGCGGCTTTCGCAGAAGCCGGTGGGAACATGAGAAGGAGGAGGAGGAGGAGGAGGAGGAGGAGGAGGAGGAGGGAGGAGGAGTTGGAGGAGGAGGAGGAGGAAGAGGAGGAGGAGGAGGAGGAGGAGAACAGGAGGATGAGAACAGGAGAACAGGAGGAGGAGGAACAGATGCCGATGCCACTGTTCGTCCTGGGGAGCTCTCGCCGCCACGGCCGGAGGCGCTCCAGCAGCTTGCACCCCGGGAGAGGTCCGGGAAGTGGCGTTAAGTCGGGCGTGTCCCTCTGCAGGAGAAGTAGTCGAAGAGAACGTCCAGATAGTCTTGGGCAGGAATGCACGAATCTGTTTTAATTAGTTTTGAGCATGTAGTTGTTATGTTTCCCAACCCTCTTGTGTCGTGTACTCTTTTTGAATAGAACACTGTGGCCTCTACCTCCTCTCCTCCTCCTCCTCCTCCTCCTCCTCCTCCTCCTCCTCCTCCTCCTCTTCCTCCTCTTCCTCCTCCTCCTCCTCCTCCTCCTCCTCCTCCTCCTCCTCTCCTCCTCCTCCTCCTCCTCCTCTCCTCCTCCTCCTCCTCCTCCTCCCCTCCTCTCCTCTTCCTTCTCATCATCATCCTCCTCCCTCCTCCTCCTCCTCCCCTCCTTCTCCTCCTCCTCCTCCTCCTCCTCCTCTCCTCCTCCTCCTCCTCCTCCTCCTCCTCCTCCTCCTCCTCCTCCTCCTCCTCCTCCCTCCTCCTCCCTCCATTCTCGTCCTCCTCGGTTTCTTCCTCCTCCTCCTCCTCCTCCTCCTCCTCCTTGCCTCGTGACCTCGCCGTCCCCTGGAGGGCTGCGATCTGCGAAACTGTCGCCACTTGCCTGGGCTCCCGGACGGCCAGTGGAGGAGTGTCCCACGCAGATCTCCATGAGACCTCGCCGTCCCTTGAGGGCTGCGATCTGCGAAACTGTCGCCACTTTCGCTGGCTCCTGGGAGGTCCAGCGGAGGGTGTCCCACGCAGATCACCATGAGACCTCGCCGTCACTGGGTGGCTGCGATCTGCGAAACGGTAGCAACTTTCGTGGACTCCTGGGGGGTCCAGCGGAGGGGTGTCCCATGCAGATCACCATGAGACCTCGCCGTCCTTGGGGGGAATGCGATCTGCGAAACCGTCGCCACTTTTGTTGGCTCCTGGGGTTCCAGCGGAGGGGTGTCCCACGGGGACCACCATGAGACCTCGCCGTCTCTGGGGGGGGGCTGCGACCTGCTAAGCTGTCGCCACTTTCGTGGGCTCCTGGGAGGGCCAGCGGAGGGTGTTCCCACGGGGACCTTCATGAGACCTCGCCGTCCCTGGGGGGCTGCGACCTGCTAAGCTGTCGCCATTTTCGTGGCTCCTGGGAGGTCCAGCGGAGGTGCGTCTTACGCAGATCACCATGAAGCCTCGCCGTTCCGTGGGAGGCTGCGATTTCCGAAACTGCCGCCACGTTTGTGTGTTCCTGGGAGGCCCAGCGGAGGTGCGATTTACGCAGATCCACCTTGCCGTTCTCTGGGGGGCTGCGATCTTCGAAACTGTCGCCACTTTCGCTGGCTCCTTGGAGGTCCAGCGGAGGGGTGTCCCACGCAGATCACCATGAGACCTCGCCGTCTCCTGGGGGGCTGCGATCTGCGAAACTGCTTCCACTTTCGTGGGCTCCTGGGAGGCCCAGCGGAGGTGCGACTTACGCAGATCACCATGGGACCTCGCCTTCCTTTGGGGGACTGGGTCGCGACGTTGGGGGGTCCAGCGGCGCTGCTCCCACGAATTATGTGTCCAATCGTCTCTCCTTATTGTTTTTCCACACTCCCTCGCGGCCGCCTTCCTGCTAGCGATCTCACTCGTAAGAGCGATGCCGCAGATGTGAACATGTGACTCTGGCCCGACGGTCTTTGGCGAATCGTTCAAGGGCACGGCGGATCCTTCAGTGCTCGCTTTTGTATTGAGCGGTCCGATGTATAGTCGCCTCATGTGTACACAGGGTTGGGTACGTCCCTAGTTAGTCTTTATCTGTCGTCAAAGATCCGCCTGTAAGGGGACGTGCCCGACCTAAAAGCAGCGGCATCGGCCCCATTTTGCTTCCCCAGTGCCGACGTTGATCGAAGCGATCGCCGCGTATGCCTCCTCCTTCTCCTCCTCCTCCTTCTCCTCCTCCATGTTATTCGTTGCCTCCTCCTCCTCTTCTTCCTCCTCCTCCTCCTCCTCCTTATGAAACCCCCGTTCTACATCTGCCTTCCGCTGCCTCCTTCCCCTCCCGCACGAAAGCGATCGCCAGGGCGAGCGCAGGCAGGTCCCGGGCCCTTCGCCTGTCGTTGCAGGGAGCCGACCCTTTCGTCGCAGGCGCGCCCCGCTTGCTGCCGCCGCCGCCGATGCTGACAAACCTGTCCCCTATTGGTGAGTGTCGCAAGTGAGGCGTGCAATGTGAGTCGCGCTCCGCGGTCTGGGTGAGCTCAGAGCGAGGCGCGACTCCCTCATGTTGTTCCAGGGCTGGCGGCGCGAACGCGCAACCATCATCGCTTCGCGGAGCGCGAAGCGCGACAAAAGTGGCCCTGGGCTGCCGCTCCTCCCTAGCTGGGGGCACGTCGGGGCACGTCCTGGCTGCGCTTCCAGCTTCGAGGCCTGCGCGCGTTCCGCTCCTCCGTCGGCTCTGGACAATTCTTCCGTGTGCGCGCCTGGAGGAGCCCCTTCCCGTAACTATCCTCCGCTCCATTCTTCCCCAACACCCTGGGCATCGCGACATGACCTGGACTGACGCAATGCTCTTGTTACACGATTTCAGCGTCTGGGTGCTTTTTGGTCGTCGCTGCTGCAGTCCTTGCTGCATTTTGCAGCCGTCTGGGGGTCTGAGGTGGCCCAGTACTGGTGCTGGCCAGCAGGAAGAGCGGGCAGGTTCGAGGACGTGGGTTCGGGACAGTTTTTGGCCCTTGTCGGCCTCTGGGGGCCATCTTCGGGCCCCGGGACCATCAGAACCGGATCCGGGGCGCAAAACTGCGCCAGATGGACCTTGGGAGGGGTCCAGGGACCTCATCTCAGAGCCCCGAATCATCAGGGGTAACTCGGGTCAGGGATAACTCGGGTTCCTTTTTCGGGAATCCAAACCCGAGTTACCTCGGACCCGACTTACCCCGGATAGTTCGGGCATCCAGAGCCCCGAATCATCAGGGGTAATTCGGGTCAGGGCTAACTCGGGTTCTTTTTCGGAAATCCAAACCCGAGTTACCCCGGACCCGAGTTACCCCGGATAACTCGGGCGCCCAATCATCCCCCCTCCTGACCGGCTCTCTGGGGTCCCAGCCAGTTCGTTCAGACCCCCCGGCCGCCTCCATTCTGCATTCTCTCGCCAGCGCGGTAGCCTTAGATCCCAGTGTGTTGTCATATCCGATCCGATTCTTCGCGCACACATACACACAAATACACACATACACACACAAACACACACGCACACGCACACACGCACACACGCACACACGCACACACGCACACACGCACACACGCACACACGTACACACGCACACACGCACACACGCACACACGCGCACACGCACACACACACACACACACACACACGCACACACGCACACACGCGCGCGCGAGCGCGCGCGCACACACACACACGCGCACACACGCACGCACGCTCGCACGCTCGCACGCACGCACACACACACACACACACACACACACACACACCAGTGTATTTTAGTTACGCGCGAGGTGGATGACGTACCTTAGCTCCTGACCATATCCGGACTGGTATTCTCGGGCTCTTGTCCGTCCCTTCCAGGGCGACCATGACCTACTTGGTCTCTCCTTCTGTGTTTAACCGCAGTTGCCCTTAGCCCATGAGCTTACCGTAGACCCTCCCGTCCTCTTTGTGAGCATTCTGCTGATTTCCACGATGACCGCCTGCTTCATGTGGTCCGTGAGGTCGCGCCAATCGACGTCGTAGGAGAGGTTGCCCACGGAGACCGTGTTCTCCATTCTGATGGTTGTCGTCGCCACCCTCGTATCGCATGCACCTATCCGGGCCTGTAGCTAATGACTTTTCTAGTAAATGCGTTGTTCGCTCCGCTGTCCGCTGCCACTGCCAGCCCACTGCCACTTGCCCCTGCCAGCCATTACCCTGGTCCGTTGGCCCTTGTTGCTGCCACTCTGGGACTGTAGTTGATGACGCGTTTGCATCGCTGCCCGCGGACCCCACTTGCTCCGACTTCTGGGTCTACTCGTCTCTCAGGTACGTTTTCTCGCTGTGGGTTTCGGCCAGGTAGTCGTCGAGCGCATGCACCATAACTTGTGTCTTCCTCGTCGCGGCGGCGACTCGGAGGCTGGACTTTTGACGTGTGAGGTGTCCCGCGCGGTAGGCCGCCTCGATGCGGAGCTCTTGCTCTTGACGCCATGTGGCATTGGTGTTGTCCATTGGGTTGCTTGTCTTTAGCAGCCTCGTTCTCGCTACTCTTGCTCCTCTTAAATGTCTGCGTAGCCCAATCGACCAAGCACATACGAGATGCGGAAAGTATCAAATTCTGACAGTGCCGCGAACAGGATGCGGCCACGCTGAAGACGTCAGGCTCGTTCTTGGCGTCTCCACCCTCGTAGCTGACGACGTTGGGCTCGTGCTCTGCAGTACTACCATCGTAGCTGATGGCGTCGGGCTCATCCCGTGCCTCGCTGATGGCGTCGGGCTCGTGTTTCGTGTTGCCACCCTCGTGGCTACTGACGCCAGGCTCGTGCTTGGCAGCACCCATGTCGTAGCTGAGGGCGTCGGGTTCACGCTGCAGTTTGCCCCTGCCTGCCACTGCTTGTCTTAAGTCGGGCCTGTCCCTCTACAGGAGGAACATTCAAAAATAGTCAAGAAATAGTCTGGGGACGATTTGTTTGATTCGTGTTTGGTTCTTTTTGAGCATGTTTGACTGTTTCTAATCGTTCGTCCAAAATCCGCCTGTAGGGGGACATGCCCGACCTAAGGCTTGTCTGCCACTGCTCCCACTGCCCGCCATCGCTGTCTCCCGCGCTTCTCCCACGGCCACACTGGGTCCCCGCCCGGTGGCAGGGGTCGTGGGGCGGGCCTGCCTGGGCCTCGCCTCCTTCTGCAAAATGCCGCCCTCTCGCGAGAGTGTCTCTGCGGATCTGCAGCTGGTGATGCGTTACAGCGAAATACCATACCAAGAAACACCCTGCGTGCCTCCAGGGTGCCCTGGGTTTCTTGGGTTTCGATGGTTCCGCTGTGGAAAGCGTGGCGTTCCCACACCAAAAATCAATTCACGCCAGGAGGTCTCAGGGTTGGGTTTCTTGTGGAAGGTTTCTTGTGGTCGAGCTCCTACTGTAGCTGATGCCTCGAGCCCCTCTTCTCGCACGTCCCGTGATGCTCCGTTGTCTGGCCGTTGGTCCCCTCGGAGACTCCTCTTCCTCCCCCTCCCGCTGCTGCTCCCCAATGCCAGCCTACGCCGCCAACGTCCGTTATTCCGGATGCGCAGGGCTCCACCGTACCCATGCCTTGAGAGTTGATGTGTTCCATTTGCCATTGTATTCACTAGAACGTGCATGGGCTTGACTTGCTATTGCATCTAGGCGTTCATCATGGAGACGGCGCACTTTGCTATCTCGCATGCAATGATGTTCGCATGTGTCCACCGAGTGTGTGCACATTGCGGATACACATTGCGGGTACTCATGAGTCCACCGAGTGTTCGCATGTTCACGTTCTTTCACGCTCATTTCTTTTGGACACGAACCTGCAACCATGATAATTCTAGAACGTAAGATGAATACGTGCACTCTCGCGCAAGTGAGTGCTAAGCAAGAACATGCATGATATACAGATCCTGAGGTCAGAGCTTGGTTGAGAAGCATGTCGTGCATATCTTTGGTTAAAACCTAGGTGCGATCAAGGGAATCCAACATGTTCGTGTATGCAGCGCGTGTGGTGTCGGACCCTACGGTTGATGGACAAAGTCCTGCACCATCCGCGATGTTAGGGTGTTGGCGCAAACGTCAACGCGCTTCCTGCCCGCGTTTCAATGTTGGTTGCGCCGCCAGCGGGGCGCAGGATTTCGGCGAGTCAGCAGATCGACACATCGTGGTGCAGCCCGCCACTATTCAATTTTGGGGCGCGGGGGGGAACTCAGAAGAAACACGTACACGGTGCACGAGTTTGTCCATCAACCGTACAGTCGGGGCCCTGAAGAAGGAACCCTTTTCGTTTGGGAGGGGCTCGGTGTTCCTTGATTGTTCTGCAGTTTGCCTTTTGTTTTCCTGAGGTTCTCCATGGCGAACCGAGGTTCAACTTATGGGAGAAAGGGGCCCCGTTCCTTATTTAGGGTTCCTTAGGTCAACGCCCCGACTGTACAAACCTTACGGCTTCCACTGTCACAGAAGGCGGGCTTCGTCGTTGCCGGGCTGCTGCCGGCGGTGTGGCTCTCGGTCGTCCTGGTGGGGCTTTGCTGACGCCGCGGGGCCCCGCTGCCGGCCGGCCAGCCCTCAGTCCGCTTGCTTGCGGGTACTGCGACTTGCTGGAGCCCCTGAGGAGGAGATGGACGTACCATTCTTTCGGTAATAGTCCGAGGCCCGAAAACCATCACTTCACTGATTTTGGGCCCCAGGGCCCACTGAGGCCCCAGGGGCCCCAGATTAGTGAAGTGATGTCTTTTCCCACGTAAGGACCCCGAAATTCATCACTTCACTAAACCGAACCCAGGACGAAAGTCAGGGGCCGAATTGCTGCTGTGATGCCACATCGGCCTCGTAAATAGTCGACATCGGAGAGAATGGGTACGAAGCCAGACTGGATTTCCTTTTCATTTGGAACAGGACTCGCCGACGGTGTCGCCGCAGACACTGTCCATTTGACAAAGCGCCACCTGCCCAATAGCGGCCTCTGTCGGGTTTAGACAACAGTTGTTGTTAGGCATCGTACCCATTTATTCCATACCCATTCCAGGCGTCGCGGCGAGCACGGGGGGGAAGTCAGAGGAGGAGTAGGAGTTGTGGCAGGCGTCGAGAGTCATAGTGGGACGTGTAATGAGAGCGGAGATGAGACGATGGAGGAACAAAAGCTAAAAAGCGTCAGCTCGAGCGCGCATGGGTTTTCAGGCGAGGGACCTTCAGCAGAAGCACGGAGTGTCAACAGGCAGCTCCAGCGTCACAGCAGGGCCCGCACACTCCCACCCTCCCGCACACGGCCTGGCATCGCTCGGACGTGTGCATTTTTCCTTCGGCGAGGCCATCGAGGAGCATCCTTGATCATTTGGCGGAAAAACCACGCACGAAACCGACAAAAAGCACAGGAAATGGACGTCCGAGCGATGGCCAGGCGGACGGCGTCCTGACTGCTACTGGGCATCTCGGCGTCGGCGAGCGAGGCATCACGAGTGGGCGCGCGTTCCCGAGCGGGACAGGGAAGTCCATCGTGAGCTCCGGTGCGGTCGGAGCGGCGTCCACGGCGCACCGGAGCTCACACTGCAGTCGAGACGCCGAGATGAGGACCACTTTTGGGATCAGGAGGGTCAGGAGGGACAAAAAACACACAGACACAATGAATCGTCGATCCCCCAGAAAAGATGGGAAAATATGGGAGGTGGGGGGGAAGACAAAAACCCAGAAAGCATTGGAAAATATGGGGAATCTTTTTAGTTGTGTGTATTTATTTGTGTGTCCTGGGGCCCCTTCAGAGGGGCCCTGTCCTCCGAGCCGCTCCTCGGAGCTGGACCGGGGAGCCAGTTCGTGGCCGCGGCTCGCCGTGCCCAGGCAAGGCCCCATTCGCTCCTCCGTCGGCACCGGTGGCCGCCGTCGGCGGGGAGATCGGCAAGGCGCTGCCTCCTCGGTTGGGGGAACAACAGGTGGCATAAGCATAAAGAACTCCCTGGCGCGCGGAGCGCGGAGCGGGGGCGGCGCCAGAGGCGCCGCCGGGGGGCCCCAGCGCCGATCCGAGAAATCCGCACTGACCTCCGAGTTTTTATGCTTATGTCATTTCTTGTTCCCCTATCGGTGGCCACAGCCCCGCGAGACTCACTGCGCACGTGCCCCTGCAGTGGACAGTGCCGCGCGCCTGGGTCGGGTCGCAGCGTTCTCGCGCCCCCATCGGGCCCACGCACGGGGTGGGCACGGGATGCGCTGCGCGTGCGCCTCCCGAGCGGGGAATGGGGCGCACGAGCTCCCCGACGAAGTGAGCATGCGATTCGACGATAGACAGACGAGACGTCAGAGTGGCATCGCGCCTGCCTGCGCGCGGTACGCAACGCCTCCCATCCTTGCCCATCCCTGCGCGCGGTTTGAACGAACGAGCTGATCATCTGGCCGATTGTGGCGCCAATGGGATCTTATGATCTTATGTGGCCCTGATGATGTTCATCGCTAGGCCGGCCTTGCTGGCTAACAAATCTGGTTTTGAGGATTGGCAGCCCCAGTGCAGTTTCCATACACGCGTTCGTGAACGTGTGTTGCTTTGGGTATGGAAAGGTCTAGGAGGGTACGCTGTGGGATTGTGTGTTTGCGGCGGATGCAGCAGAGGCGACAGCCGCTACCGAGAAGTCAGTAGTAAGGAACACGACGAGCGGATGGGGAGGGACTCCAGCAGGTCAGGTGCGAGGCGTCTTCTGTGTGTCCGGCTGAGAGTTTCACCTTCCAGGCTTCGACCTGTGTTTTTTTCAAGTTGCCAGAAATTGGTTCGCAGTCAACACGGATACTACGGATGAGCGACGTTCCAAGGTCGCCCGTGCATCGTCCTTTTTCGGTTTATCCTTGGTCACATTCGTTGGCCGCACCCCGCTCGAAAATGGTCGGCCTGGCCTTCAAAGGCCATGGCACCCTCATCCCGCATCTCATTTCTATCACGAGCGAACACATACCCATACCCATACGAGGGACGGGAGGGGGCTATGGGTGCGTGTTGTCGGATGGGGGCCCCCGCTCGAGCGGGAGCCTCCCCGCTCGAGTCGGGCAGTTCCCTCCACGGGAGGAATACTCAGAATACTCGAGTACTAGTCGGCTGGCGATTTTTCGTGCTCGTTTGACTGTGCCTGAGCATTTGTGGACTCTGTTTTGCCTGTCGTCCCAAGTCCGCCTGAAGGAGGACATGCCCGACCCGACCTTAACTGTATGGGGTATGGTTGTGTGTTGTTCGTTCGTCATTCTACGCGTGCGCTGTGCAGTTGGGGCGCTGAGGAAGGAACCCTTCTCGTTGGGGAGGGGCTCGGTGTTCCTTGATTGTTGTGCGGTTTGCCTTAGGTTTCCCTGAGGTCTTCCATGGGAAGTCGAAGTGCAAGTTTTGGGGAAGAGGGGCCTCGTTCCGAATTCAGGGCTCCGTAGGTCAGCGCCCCGACTGCATCACCACACGAGCACCGGCTCGCGAGTGCCAGTCATTCGCGTCCTTCGCGCACACCCTCCTCGAGCCCCTGAGGGTGTCGAGCCCTCCTCGGCGCCATCCCCCGCAGACCCCGGCTGCCACGCAGGGGCTTATCCGCCGGTGGACTTGGCACCGCTCGGAGTCCGACCCCATCGAGGAGGCCCAGATCGAAGGCCCTCGCCGACGTCGGGGACGTGAGCACCTTTTCTCGGCGAGGGCCTTCGATCTGGGCCTCCAGGATGGGGTCGGAGTAGACGGGGTCGGACTTCTCAGACGGCTCGGAAGGTCCCCAGCCTTCGAGAAGTCTTCGGAGCCTTCCCCAGAGGCACGGGGAATGTCTCAGGAGGCACGAGGGTTTCTGGGAAGTCCCGCCGCCTTCTCAGAAGGCCGTCTCCTTCTCACTTCCCCCCCTCGCTCGCCGCCGACATCGATCTGGGCCTCCTGGATAGGGTCGGAGCGGATGAGGTCGGAAGATCGCGCCGCGTCGCCGATGCATCGACGATGCGGCTCGATGCGGAGCCCGAGATTCTCCACGCCGACGTCGCCGATGCGTCGCCGATCCTCCGATTCCATCCAATCGGACCCTATCTAGGAGGCCTCTGCAGTGAGCGGCTCGAATAAGGAACACTTCCTTTTCAAAAGGGGCTCGATCGTTCCTTAGACTTGCATGCGTTATTTAGCGTTCCTCATGCGTTATGTATGATGCATGGCTCCTTATGCGTTACTCCTTGGGAAAAGGGGCTTCGTTCCTTATTTGTCGTTCCTCAGGTCAGGCCGATGATTGTAATCGGTGAGCATATTGGATCATCCTGCGAAGCACCCAAGACGCTCGACACCGAAAAATGCACGGGGCGTGGACGGCTAAGCGACGGCAGAGTGTGGGAAGGAGCAGGGTAGAGGGGCACCGGGGGCCCCCAGGCAGCGCGGTGACCGCGCCTCAGGAGGGGAAAACACACACAGACATGATTATTCGTCGATCCCCAGGAAGGGACGGGAAGATATGGAGAGCGGGTGGGAAGGCGAAGACCCCGGAACCAATTGAAGATACGGGGAATCTTGGGATTTGTGTCTACAGTCGGGGCGCTGAAGAAGGAACCCTTTTCGTTGGGGAGGGGCTCGATGTTCCTTAATTGTTCCACACCTTGCCTAAGATTTCCCCTCAGTGTTCGATGGGAAGTCGAAGTGTAACTTACGAGAAGAGGGGCCTCGTTCCTTATTTAGGGTTCCTTAGGTCAACGCCTCGACTGTATTTGGCTGTGGCTCCCAGGAAGGGACGGGAAAATATGGAGAGCGGGTGGGAAGACGAATACCCAGGAACCAATTGAAGAGGCGGGGGATCCTGGGGGTTTTGTCCATTTGGTTGTGGCGCCCAGGGTCCCTTCCACCGTGAGGGGGGACCGTCGGGATTCGGGCTGGCCGCACGGCTTGGGGCCCCTGGGGGCCGTGCTCCGAGGACGTATCGGACGGCTGGGGCCCGTCAGGCCAAGGTCCTCCTCCCCCTCCCCCCCCCCCTCCTCCTCCTCCTCCTCCTCCTCCTCCTCCTCCTCCTCCTCCTCCTCCGCCTCCTCCTCCTCCTCCTCCTCCTCCTCCTCCTCCCCCTCCCCTCCTCCCCCTCCCCCTCCTCCTCCTCCTCCTCCTCCTCCTCCTCCTCCTCCTCCTCCTCCCCTCCGTCCTCCTCCTCCGCTCCTCCTCCTCCTCTCCTCCTCCTCCTCCTCCCCCTCCCCCTCCTCCCCCTCCCCCTCCTCCTCCTCCTCCCTCCTCCTCCTCCTCCTCCTCCTCCTCCTCCTCCTCCTCCTCCCCCCTCCTCCTCCTCCTCCTCCTCCTCCTCCTCCTCCTCCTCCTCCTCCTCCTCCTCGTCCTCCTCCTCCGCCTCCTCCTCCTCCTCCTCCCCTCCCCCTCCTCCCCCTCCCCCTCCTCCCCCTCCCCCTCCTCCTCCTCCTCCTCCTCCTCCTCCTCCTCCTCCTCCTCCTCCTCCTCCTCCTCCTCCTCCTCCTCCTCCTCCTCCTCCTCCTCCTCCTCCTCCTCCTCCTCCCCCTCCCCCTCCCCCTCCCCCTCCGCCGCCTCCTCCGCCGCCTCCTCGTCCTCCTCCTCCTGCAGGGTCCCGAATCCGTGCGGCGACGCGCCGTGTGATGGTGTCGTCGGGGATCTCGAGGGCGCCGCACGATCTGTCACCGCACCGTTGTGAGAGCCCCAGGAGCGGGGAGGGGGCGGGAGGGAGCGAGGCAGAGGCCTGGAGTCGCCCCTTGATCGCTGGCAGGGGCCCGATAGTCCTTCCCCGCCAAGGGATGTGCGAATGTGGCATCGGTGGTATATCGCCAATTCCAGGTCGATGTTTCCCCTCCTGAGCCAGTCCCCCCCCCGAAGTCGAAATCCATGATACAGACGGGTAACCTTCCCAATGGGCGCACTGGCCTCCTTGCCTCTTGGGCTCAGCCTTAACCACATTCGCTATCAACTCTCACTGCATGAGCGAGGCCGCACGCAGTCCCGTCGCCGTTTTTTTATGTGTTGCCTCGCCGATCGGCGTTGGCCTCCGCCCATCCCTCTCCCCCCACCACAGACCAGCTCTTCGCGGCTGCTCTTCCTCCTCCCCGTCCTCCTCCTCCTCCTCCTCCTCCTCCTCCTCCTCCTCCTCCTCCTCCTCCTCCTCCTCCTCCTCCTCCTCCTCCCCCCGGTCTGCTAGCGCGACCGGCAGGAGCAGATCGACGCAGCCTTGGCCCAGACCCAGACCACCCCCCCTCCCCCACCCTTCGGCCAGACGAGGCGTTCCAAGAAGGGCCCTGCTTTCGGGGATCGAAGGAGTCGTCGTCCCTGCCTCGGCGGAGGGCCGGCGGAAGTAGAAGAGGCGCCCCCAGGAGACGAGCAAGAAACGCCGGAGGGAGCCGAGGCAGAGGCCCGACTCCGCCTCCAGGGCCCAGCGCTCATCTGCTGCCAGGGCAGCCCGGCGGTCGCGCCCCGCGCGACCGGTCAGGAAGAGACGGCCAGCCGGGGAAGCAGCACAATGAATTGTTTTTTGTTCCTCCCCATGGCAACGCTCGTTGCACAGGCCAAACGACCCCTCCCCAGGGGAACGCTAACGGCCGTACTGGAGGGGGGGCCTGGACCCCCCCCCAGCATGTTGTGGTGCACACAAGCGATTGATGCGCGGGTGGCGCGGACGCACCCTGGCGGGTGCACGCCGCGGCCACCGTCACCGTTGGCCTCCCGCCCGAAAACCCCCCGCCCCTCCCCCGGATAACGACCGTTCCCCGGCAAAGAAAAAAAAGGTCACACAGGCGTTGCGCCGCCGGCTCCAGGCAGTCTATGCTTCTATCGGCGGCGAGCTTGGGGGGGAAGTGCGAGGGGTCGGGTCTTCTTCAAAAGACTCAGAAGTTCCCCAGCTTTGAGCCTTCCCCAAAAACACAGGAAACTTGTCAGAAGGCGCGAGGGCTTTGAGAAGTCCCACCGCCTTCTGAGACGGCCTCAGTTCCTCCTCTCGCTCGCTGCCGATCTAGGCCTCTCGGATGGGGTCCGAGCAGATGAGGTCGGAGGATCGTGCCGCGTCGACGATGCAGCGGCGATGCGGCTCGAAATGGAGCCCGATGTTCTCCACGCCGACGTCGCCGATGCGTCGCCGACGTCGCCAGTGTATTGACAGTACATCGGCGATGCATCAACGATGTGGCGCGATCCTCCGACCCCTTCTGATCGGATCCCATTTAGGAGGTCTCTACACAAGCGTTCAGCCGCTGGCGCCAGGCACTAGCGTTCCGCCGCGGGCTCCTGGCACTGGCCGTGCTGCGCGGCGACGGGGGGGGGAAGGGAACGAGAAGCAAGCAGACATCGGCGCACGCGCAGGCGGGAGGGGCCAGGGCCGGGCAGGCGGGAAGGCGCAGGCGGGAGCCAGGGCGCAGGGCGCAGGCGGGAGGGGCCAGGGGCGGGAGGCGGCGGGGCGAAGCGGGCGGGCAGGCAGGCGGGAAGAGACAGAAGAGGAGACAGCAGGCAGGCAGCAAAGGAGGAGAAGACGAGGGAGAGGAGGAGGAGGGAGGGGAGAGGGAGAGGGAGAGGAGGAGGAGGAGGAGGAGGAGGAGGAGGAGGAGGAGGAGAGGAGGAGGAAGGAGGGAGAGGAGGAGGAGGAGGGAGAAGACGAGGGGGAGGAGGGAGAAGAGGGGGAGGGGGAGGAGGAGGAGGAGAGGAGGAGGAGGAGAGAGGAGGAGGAGGAGGAGGGAGGGGAGGAGCAGCCGCCGGTCGAGACACACTGGGCCAGGTCGAGACAGTGGCGGCCTTCCCCGGCGGTCTGCGTCCTCCCCGGGCCTCCTGGAGCGTCTCGTCGCCGCGGCTCTGTCAGGATGGGGAGAAACACGCACACACACACACACACACGCAACTCCCTCCTCCTCCTCCTCCTCCTCCTCCTCTCCTCCTTTTCCTCCTCCTCCTCCTCCTCCTCCTCCTCCTCCTCCTCCTCACACACACACACACTTCTTGATTCGCTGGTCGAGAGCGCACCTCTTCCGGTCGAAGCTAAGCGGGCCGCGCACAGCTTGAATTATCAAAGGGGGGTGCAGAAGGAGGGGCCTCACGCACACACGCACACACACACACACACACACACTCACACAAACACACACGCACACACACACACACACACACACACACACACACACACACACACACACACACACACACACACACGCACACACACACACAAACACACACACACACACACAAACACACACACACACAGAGAATTGACCGTTGATACCCAGGAAAATGCAGGGAGGGGGGGGGAAGACGAACACCCCAAAACGATGGGAAAACATGTGGGGAATCCTGGGAGTTGTGCGCATTTGTTTGTGGGCCCCGGGGAGGTCCGGGGACAGAGCTCGAGGGTGACAGCGAGTTCTCGGCTTTCAGTCGGGCATATCCCTCTACAGGGGGAGTGTGAAAAAATTATCTAAAATAGTCTGGGGACCAGTTCTTAAGCATATGTCTTAGTATTTTGGGGCATGTTTGGGGTATTGTTAATTTTTTCGCCCAAAATCCGCCTGGAGGGGGACATGCCCGACCTAATCCTGGCTGTCTCCTGCCTGGGCCGGGGGGGAGGGAGGGAGAGTCGAGGACACGACAGCCGCATAGGCATCCTATTTTTCAGAGGCCCGCGCGAGCCTCCTTGGATCTTCGATGGCCCCCCCGTCCCTGGCGTGCGCATCGCGCCAGGTGCGGCGCCCCAGGCGCCACCAGGGGGCCCCAGCGCCGGTCCAAGAAGTCCGCGCCGACCTCCGAAATCGGGAGCCTCGAGACGGGGGTCAATGCAAACGGGGGTCAGCCAGGGCACCAGATCCTGCAGGATCTTGCGAAGACCCCCTCTGGCTGACCCGGGTTAGCGAGCCGCTCGTGGCCGCGAGGCGGCCGCGCGTATTGGCTGACCCGGGTTTGAGAAGATCTGCGTTGCATTTTTTTTTCCTGCATTGCAGTCTTTGGTTTCCTGCTGACCCGGGTCTGGATTGACCCGGGTCAGAAGATCCCCGACGAAAGTTCAGCTTTGCGCAGTTCCCCGAAAGGCTTGTAATGATTCAGGCGCCCGGTGGTGGGTGCCGGGCCCTCGAGAGCGGCGGGTGGTTCCTCAGCGACGTGGCCCCCCACGGCGGCGGCACATGTGTAAAGCTGACGTGTTCGTTCTCCTTTTTCGTTCCACCCTCGTCCCCTGCAATTACCGCCCTCCCCCCTCCACCATTCCTCTCCAGCCTTTCGCCTCATTCCTTCATCGCCCATCCCCTCCCAGTCTGCTCCCTCCTACCTCCGCCCAGGGCCGCTATCCAGTGCACCGTTTCGATCGTGACGTTTCTTTGGCTGCTGCGCGCACACGACAGGTGCCCTCGCGCGCAGGTTCGCCGCCCTTTGCAGCGGGAAGGCCGCGGCGGCGAAAAGTGCAGACAAAATCGACGCGCCACCTGGAGGGGGAAGAGTGAGAGATTGAGGGGGAGAGAGAAACAAAAACAGAGATAGAGAGAGAGGTAGAGAACACAAATGAGAGAGAGGGGGCGGTAGGGAGGGAGGGGAGGGATGGCACGGAGGTAGGCAGGGAGGGAGAGAATGTGATCGATCGGGGAGGGAGGGACGGAGAGGGAAGGAGTGAGCCGGGAAATGGGAGGAGGGCGGAGCGTGTAGGCCTTTTGAACATCGAGTGCATCGTGATGGTGAGCGGGACGAGGTCATATTGCATTGCATTCCACAAGTTGGTTCCGTTCTTGTGGTTAGGTATACGGGTCGCGACTTGGTGGGTCAATTAATCAAGTGGCGTTGCCATTATGGTTGCGGGGTATGTTTCATTCAGCCCACAGAGCGGGAGTCATTGCAGGCCTTCAAGAGGAAGCGAACACGCAAATCTCGCAATCAGAGGGTGCTCGGGAGTACGGTTTCGACGAAACAGGTGGTTAGCTTCGAGAGCGTGCCTGGGGTTGTCTCGGAGACTGCACAGACAGCCCACGAGGGCAAACGGTGCTAGAATGAGCTTCCACAGTAACATTATGGGCACAACGACGTGGGCTTATGAGGATAAGGAAAAGGAGGAAAAGGAGTCGCAGGAGAGGGGAATCGCACGAGACTGCAAAAACTGCGGAGTAGGAGGAGGAGATAAACAAGGGAAAGGTGCCAGAGGCCAAGATGTTTGCAACAGTTCGTTGTGCTTTGATTTGGATTCAACACGTTCGCCCTGGATCACAATGTGCGACAGGATATGTTATCGAAATGGTATCGAGGCAACAACACATGTTGTGCAAATCCGTAGCCATTTTGGTTCAAACCGTTTGCGGCTTCAGGTTTTGCCTTTTTTAACATTCAGTTTCCTATACAGTGTTTCTTGTTGCTAACTTGTTTACACGACAACGGCTGCTTGTGGGCTTGCGGGAGCTTCATCGGGATACCGTATCATTCGTCTGAATGGATCAGTTTGACAATGTGAGTCGAGTCAGTGACAAAGTGAATCGAGTCAGGGAGTGGGCAAGGAGCGTTTCTAGTACAAGAGAGTTGACCCTGTATGTCCAGGGTATTCCTGCAGAGTGCACGAAGTCCCAACTCATGGCTTGGATCAACTCCTTCGGATTCGCTGGCACCTACGACTACCTCTACCTGCCACGCTGCCTCCGCACGCAGAAGTCCAAGGGCTACGCCTTCATCAACTTCGTCGACTCCGAGACGGCACAGAGGTTCACCGAGGTGCTTGGGCGCCGCGTGATGGGGGGGTCATAAATGGGGGGGTGGCGAGCGTGGTCCGAAAAGGCACCCAAACGGCACCTAAACGAGCCCCCTGGGGCTCCGGAGGGGCCCGAGAGGGGCACGAAAGGGGACCTTTTCTGACCCCCCCCATTTGTGACCCCCCCATTGAGCCACGCCCAAGGTGCTGGACGGCCACCTCATGTACGGCGGCTCGTCCCGGGGGTGGACAGAACCCCCAACAGTGACACGTCGATTAGTGAATTGTCCGTTGTCGGTTCTCGAGAGGGCGCCGTGGCCGTTGTTTTCCAGGCTTGCGCCCGCCAGGTTTGGGCATCAGGTCGTTTTCACTGAACCCCGTTTTACTAAAGGGGTGTCTGTCCATCCCCGATCGTCTCTGGTCGTGCTCGTCTCGATGACCCAGGGGCTGGTGGAGAACCTGGCGAGGTGGATGCGCGCGCGGTCGCGGCGCGTGCGGGACCCGGAGGTCCTGCCGTTCGTGGCGCCCCTCGAGGTAATCGGGGTATCCCGCAAAAGGGGTGTGTACTCCCGGTGTGTGTGTGTGTGAGGAGGAGGAGGATAGGAGGAGGAGGAGGAGGAGGAGGAGGAGGAGGAGGAGGAGGAGGAGGAGGAGGAGGAGGAGGAGGAGGAGGAGGAGGAGGAGGAGGAGGGGGGAGGACGGAGGAGGACGGAGGAGGACGGAGGAGGACGGAGGAGGACGGAGGAGGACGGAGGAGGACGGAGGAGGAGGAGGAGGAGGAGGAGGAGGAGGAGGAGGAGGAAGTGTGTGTGTTTGTGTGTGAGTTCGGTCGGCTTTTGCACCGAACCGCCCAACGCAAATGCAAGCCAGCCGCCGGCAGCTCCCGATAGCCGCCGATAGGTGGGACCTGCGGGGCGAACTTGTTTGCGGGAGTTCGGTGCACCAACGGATCGAATCCATGCCCCCCCTCAGGATCACACCCCTTTGTCTTAGAAATATATCCAACCTTGTTTGTGTCAATTATTCAACCAGTAATGTTGTCGTTTTCATTCGTCCACTGAGCTTATTATATATTGGACCCATACTAGGCATGATGATAAGATAGCCGCCCTGAACTGATGAAGTAGTGCAATCGTAATGGGTACTGGTGGACCCCATCGAGGCACTCGGCGTCGCACACCCGATGGAGGCGGAGGCGCACTCGCCGTCGGAGCCGGATGCGGAGTCGTCGCCCAGCGGCTCCGAGTTGCCCGCCCCGCGCTTCTCCACGGAGGGCGAGGCCGTCAGCGCCCCGCCGTCGGCGCGTACCGGCGAGCTAGGCGCGGGGCGCCGGGGCACGCGGCGGAGCTGGGGCAGCGGCGCCCCGGGGCCGAGGGCGGGCGCGCCTCCTGGCAGGTGGTCCTCCTCCTCCTCCTCCTCCTCCTCCTCCTGATCCTCCTCCTGATCCTCCTCCTCCTGATCCTCCTCCCTCCTCCCTCCTCCCTCCTTTTCCTCCTCCTCCTCCTCCTCCTTCTCCTCCTCCTCCTCCTCCTCCTCCTCCTGATCCTCCTACTTATCCCCTCTCCTGGCAGGTGGACGCCGCGCCTCCCGCCCGTGGGGGCAGCGCAGCCTGCGCCGCACGAGGAGGCCGCGTCGCGGGCACAAGCGGAGGCGGCGGCAGCCCAGGGGCTGAGCGGCGGCCCCGAGAGCGATGTCTACTTCGTTCGCCTCAGCCTTTAGCAGGCGCGTTCCACCGTGTGTGCATTGTGAAGTGGGGGAGGCTCGCCCCTGCATTTTCCGGCAGTTTTGTTTTTGATATTTGCCGCTGTCTTCTTGGGCCTCGTGGGGGGGTCCTCCGTACAGAATCTCTGGCATGTTGACAGACGGCCAGTCTGCTTGAAAATTGGCGATGCGCCCTGCGAGCACGACATGAGTTGGGAGCGGGCACTATCGCAGTTCATTTTTCGTGCTTCAGCACGGCTGTTTCAACATCCTACTTGCGCTCTCGCACGAATGTCTTCGGCAACTCGTGTTTCTGAACGCCTGTTTCAAAATCCTGGATGATATCGTGCATCATGCTTGAGAAGGCCTTACGGCCGGTGCCGCCGACCCTGAAGACGACGACGACAAAGAGGAGGAGGAGGAGGAGGAGGAGGAGGAGGAGGAGGAAGAGCAGGAGGACCCTTGAGAGGCCTCGGGAGAGCTTCTTGGGGACGAGGGCTTCAGGGCCTCAGGGCTTCAGATGTCCGTTTCGGTCCTCCGTCTGGCGACTCTTAAACCCATCTTGGTGCTCTTCGGGAGGGGGGAAGACGAGGAGGAGCAGGAGCAGGAGCAGGAGGAGGACCATGGGAGAGAGGGGCGCTTATGGCAAGCTGCAGAAGTATAAAGGAGTGCATCTATAAGAAAGAGGGATGTCCAGGGATCCAGACGCCCTGGTGTGGTGGAAAATTCAGGACGCGAGGTATTCTGACGTTTTTGACTTTCAGGAGCCTTGAACGGCCTGGGGGCCAAACATCGACCCAGGACGTAGAATTGGTGACTGCCAGAGAGTATGCGCTTCGGCTACCATCATCATCCCTGCAGGTCCTCCAGCCGACGCCCTAAATGCCGCCACGCTGGTCCCGGGTAGGCTGTGCTGCCATGCGGAAGGGGACGAGGAGGAGAGACGAAGGGGAGGGAGGAGGAGGAGGAGGACAAGGAGGAGGGGAAGCAACCGCGAGCAGACAGGCCGGGCCAGGGGCCCAGAGAGAAGAGCCACCCGCGACGAGGCTACGGACCTTGCGGTGGCGACCTGGGCGGGGTGGCCGACCGAGTCCAGCACGCTGCGGTCTGGTGGGGATGGCCCTCTACGGGATCCACCCGCCGCCCCGCCGAGGAACGGCCGGACGGCGCGCGTGAGTGGTCTTGGAGGGTGAAAGAGGGGGTCTGCAACAGGGGGTCTTCAATGGGGGCTGAATGGCCCATGTATGCTCAATGTATCGCTCATGTATGTGATCGGGTACGATTGGCATCCAATGCTGGCTGTCATTGGTGGCCAGTCATTCGTGCCCGCGCGTTGCCCGCGCGGGCGCACGCGCCGTCCATCCATTATCGTTCATGCGTGCGGGCGTTCTTGCATATTGCGCGTGGGTCGGCGAAGTGGAGTGCAAGTGTGTCTTGATTGTGCGGTTGATGATCGCGTATGTTCCCAAACGATGACTTCTCGACCCCCAAGACAGATTTGGAATGTGCCCCGCGATTTTTCCAAAATGTGAATTCACATTTTCCTTTTTTCCCAAAATGTGAATTCACATTTTCCTTTTTCCCAAAATGTGAATTCACATTCTGGCCCCTTCATAAAGAATCCTACACAAAATTTCAAAATGTGAATTCACATTTTCCTTTTTTCCCAAAATGTGAATTCACATTTTCCTTTTTCCCAAAATGTGAATTCACATTTTGCTTTTCCCCACAATGTGAATTCACATTTTGCCCTGGCCATCAAGATCCCCAAAACTGAGGCGCAGTGTTCCGCATGCCAGATTGGCTGGGCAGATTTCGACACTCACCCGACCGCTTTCGTGTGTTCCAGCCTGTTCTTGTTGCGCCCTTAGCGCACGTTGCCCTCGTCGCCTTTCCCGAGCCCCCCGCCCCCTTGCTTCCTTTCCCCTCAAGTCTCGCGCGCGGGTGCAGGCGGGGGGCTTCAATTAGTTCCCCCGCCGAACACATCAATCGAGGATGCATCGCCCATTCATGACTTTAAAAAACATCATTGCCGGGACCCTGCGCCCGACCCCCACTTTCACCCTCCAATGGTCGCCGGCGCGACGCGGGCCAAAGGGCGCGGGGGGGGCGCCCACGCTGCCCAGCAAGGGCGGGGGGGGGTCCCCGTACAGGGTCTGGCGGATTCCTCCTCGTTCTCCTCCTCTTCTTCTTCGTCATCCTCCGTCCTCCGTCCTCCTCTTGCTCCTCCTCCTCCTCTTCCGTCCTCCTTGTCCTCCTCCTCCTCTTCCTCCTCCTCCTCCTCTTCCCTCGTCCTCCTCCTCCGTCCTCCCCCTCCGTCCTGCGTCGATGCGGGGGTCGGCGTTTGCGGTCGAAGTGAAAGCAAGGCAGCCTGGAAGGGAAGAGGGAGAGAGAAGAATAATGAAAGGGGGAGGGAGGGAAACAACCCAGCTTGGGAGACAGGTCCGCTGGCGACGACGGCGAGGGCGACGGCGACGGCGACGGCGGAGACGACGATGACGACGACGACGACGACGACGACGACGGCCATGACGACGACGACGACGACGAACACGACGGCGACGGCGACGACGACGACGACGATGACGATGACGATGACGATGACGATGACGATGACGATGACGGCGGCGACGATGGCGATGAACACGACGACGACGACGACGACGACGACGACGACGACGACGACGCTGACATGAGTCAGAGTCCTCAAGGGCTAGTTTTTGGAGCGTCTTCGAAGCACTGTCCGGTGTCTCCGGGGGACACTTTAGGGGTCTCTTGGGAGTCCCTTGGGGGCATCTTGGGAGTTTCTTGGGAGCCTCTTGAGGCTTCCTAGGGGCCTCTTGGGGGCCCCTTGGGGCCTCTAGGGTGCCTCTTGGGAGCCTTTTGGCTCCTCCTGGCAGCCCCTGGGGGCCGAGGGCTCGAAATGTCCGGTCGGGTCCTTCGTCGAAGAATTCATTTTGAGCCGTCTTGGGGGCCTCTTGGGCCGTCTTGGAGGCGTGTTGGGCCGTTTGGGGGCCTTCTTGGGACGTTTTGGGTCCTTCCTGGAAGCCTCTTGGGCTCTCTTGGCGCGATCTGGGGGTCCTCGTGGGCCGTCTTGGAGCGTCGGGAAGCGGAATGGGGGCCTTTTGGATTCCTCTTGGGGGCCTATCAGGGCCGATGGCTCGAAATGTCCGGTCGGGTCCCTCATCTGGGCACCCTTTTGGGGCCGTTTGGGGGGCCTGTCGGGCCGTCTTGGAGGCTTTTGGGGTTGTTTTGGGTCCCTCATGGGACGCTTTGGTCCCTTCTGAGAGCCTCTTGGGGCGATCTTGGGGGCCTTGGGCCGTCTTGGAGTGTCGGGAAGCGGAATGGGGGCATCTTGGGGGCCTATTGGTTCCTCCTGGAAGCCTCTTGAAGCCGTCTGTGGGTTTCTTGGGCCGTCTTGGAGGCCTCTTGGGCCGTCTTGGGGCCCGTTTGGGCCGTTTCGGGTCCCTCCTGGAAGCCGTCTTGGGGCGATTTGGTTGGTGGGCTTCTGGGGCCATCTTGGAGAGTCGGGAAGCGGAAGAGACGAGAAGGCCGAAATGCTTCAAAAACCAATGAGAAATCCATGATGTTTTCTCCTGGAGCCCTCTTGGGAGTGAACCTGGACGCCTCTTGGGGCGTCTTGCAAGGCTCTTGGGCCGTCAGGAGACCGTCAAGGCGTCTGGGAAAGACCGTTTGTCGATTCGAAGCCCTCTTGGACCGTCTTGGCCCAGGGGGGACCGCCCCCCCCAGATCCCCCCGCCCAGGACCCCCCCCTCCCGGCGGGCGAGGGATCAAAGGGAAAGGGTGCCCCTTCGAGTTTATTACGACGTTGCTCAATTTCGCTATGGCTGGCGCGGTTGAGGAGAATGGCCCAGGGAAGGAGAGGGGAGCGGCGACGGGCACAACGAAGGAAGAGCGCAGGGAAAGGGGACGAGAGAGACGACGATTCACGAATGACGTCGACGACGACTCGAACGGAGGAGCCCCTCACACACGCCGACAGGGTCGGCGGATTCCGTGTCTGCGTTACCGTTTGCAGGCTCATGTGAAAGGAGATAGTGTGTCTAAACGTGCAAATGCATGGATTTGTCGAACGGCTGCCTAGCCGCGTTCCGCGCAAGTCTGGGCACGCTTGTTTCCGGAGGTCACCAACCACTTTTATGATGACGCCCTAAGGGTGATCATCCGACATTTCCTGCTTACTCTTGAGAACCGGTCCTCAAGACAATGACAGCCGATCTATATCGAGCTGATTGACGTTTTGAGAGTCCGTTGGCCTTCCTGCAGCGTTCGGTCTACTTTGTTGGTGCACTTTTTTTGATCGCGGTGCGAGAAAACGTGTGC